ACTCTGTACGGACTCTGAGGGACGGAGTCCGCAGTACCCAGGCTGTCCATCCCGAGGCCGGCCGGCCGGCGACGACCCAGCTGCCCCGATGCGCGCCAAGCGAGGCCGCGGGGTGCGAGGGCGCCCGCGTTGGGGACCGCACGTGGGTCCCCACGGGGCGGGACGCGCGCCCCAGGCGCAGAGACCCCCGACTCCTGGGCGCCCGCCACGGTGCCCAAGCACCCCCACCTAGGCGCGCCCTCGATCTGATCTTCCCCCGCGTTCTCGCACAGTCTGGGGGATGCCCGGACCCAGGCCCGCCCCAGGGGTTGCAGACTCCCAGGACACGTTCCACGCCCGCGGGCCTCACAGCCGCCCCCTGCAGGCCGGCTCGGTCCATCGGCCCGTCTCAGGTAACACTGTCGCCCCCTGCAGGCCGACTCGGTCCATCGGTCCGTCTCTGGTAACACTGTCGCCCCCTGCAGGCCGTCCTTGGACCGATGGCCCAAACTCAGTCTCCCGGGTCCTAGCTTCCTCCCCTTCGAACAGGACCAGCAGGCTGCCTAAGGGCCTTTGTACCTGCCACCCTGCCTGAAACGCTCGCCACGCGCTCCCGGCTGGTCCCTGCTTCCATGCCACATGGAGGTCCTCGCTGTCCTGCTTCCCCTTCACTGCTGACCCCACCCACAAGCATGCCTGCAGCAGACGAGCTCAGGTGCGCCCCGCAGAGGACAAACACTTTCAGAATTATCTGACATGCAAAGATGTCCCCATGTCACGTCATGGTTTTCATTTCGTTAAAATGTTGCCTCTTGGTCTCATGTTGTGCATAGAAAAGGCTTGGCTGTTCCAGGTGAACTCTCTTGTTACTTTAAAATGTTTCTGTAATCCCCCAATGCTCCCCAGCATCCGGGTGTGCCGGACTGGTTAGTCTAACCAGTTGAGTTGCCCAGCGCCCAGCGGGGGCTGGCTGTTGGGAGACCTGGGGGACTTGGCTTTCTCCCTGGAATTGGCACTTCCTGAAGTGGGGAGCCTGCACCTCTATCATCAAGGCTGAAGCCACACTTAACCCCCACCCCCAGCCCCATCAGGGAACCAGCTGAGTCAGCTACCTCCTCCAGCTAATTCCTGAGAGAGGGGATTGGAGGTGGGGGGCGGCGGGTGGCCATCAGGATGCCAGAGTAAATGAAATGTCCACCCTTGTCAAACTGCCCGACGGACACAGGTTGGTCCTGCTGCACTGTGTTGGTCCCCAGAGCCCACCCCTTCCAGGCCCTCAGGTAAAACTCCAAAGGAGTTTGTTTCAACTGGTAGCAACGTTGTTAAGACCGGAGAGAGCTGCCCTTGTGGGTTTCCGAGACGAACCTTTACTGGAGAAGGAAGTCTCATCTTTCTCACAAGGCGCGGCTCGTGGTTTCCAACTGCTGACCCTGCAGTTTGCAGCCTGACACGTGACCACTGAGCCACTGGGGCAGAAGCAGGTCAAATGAAGCGCCATTAGTTCAGTGGCCCAGAAGCCTTCAATCTGGAATTCTCACTCAGGGCCCCCACCACACAATGAACACCCCACCTTGACTGGGGTGGTGGTGGGGGCTTAACAGGAGCCCTTTGTCCAGGACACCTGTCCCCACCAGCAGTCCAGCAGAGCCGAACGATCCCACCACCTGACAGGTTGACGCCCCCTGCCCCCAGGGCAAGGTCTGTGAGGGCAGAGCTGTGTCCCCTTGTCCTCTTCTGCTGCCCACAGCCCAGAGATAAGCCCTGTGGGTCCAGAGGGGTGGGGAGGAAGAAAGGAATAATTTTTCTACCATTATCCACTTCTTGTTTAAGGAGCCCTGGTGGCGCAGTGGTTACACATGGGGCTATTAACTGTAAGGTCAGCAGATCAAAACCACCAGCTGCTACTCAGGAGAGAGCGGCGGCTTAGTCCCATAAAGCCTTGGAAATCCATAGGGGTAATCTTACCCTGTGCTATAGGGTCACTGGGTCAGAAATGACTCAAGCAAGGAGTGTTTTTTCCTGTACAACCCCCTCCACAGGCTGGAGCACGCATGACCCATATACTAATGTGCCCATCTCTGTGCAGAATCCAAAGCTTCCACAAGGTAAATGAGCCCAGAAACCCATTGCTCACCAGCCCAGCCTGGCTGGAGACACTAGTACTTCCTGAGCCCCAGGCCCTCCTCCCAGTAGCCTTTGCTGGAGCACACCCCGCAACAGCCTCCCCAGGATGCAGCCGGCGCCAGAGGGAAACGTCATGAGAGCAGGCTAGCCACAGAGGCGATGGACGGCCACTTGTCAAGGGCAGAATTCAGGGTGGAAGGTAATTTCCCCTCAGCACCCAGACGTGCTGCTGGCCTCAGTGTCTGGCATGACACCGAGAAGCCAGACCCAACAACCACTGCCACCCGGTTGGCTCCCCCTCAAAATGGGCATCTGGCTCTCCCTCCAAGGCTCTGGGGTCCCTTTGTCCCCAAGGGTCTGGTGATTTTGCCTCAATGACCTAGCTAGTGCGGCAGAGGGGGACTGGGGGCCTACTAGGTGGCAAGAGTGGTGGGAGGGGTAGGCACAGGTGGGGGATTCAGGAAGGGTGGCTCCCAGGTGGAGGGCAGAGACCACAGGGAGCACAAGGTGAAAGCATAAAGCTCGGGTGAGACCAGTGCAGGACCAGAAGAGTCGAGGAACTGTGAGGGGCACTCAGTGTCAGAGCAGCTTGTGGGGGCAGCAGGGACACAGCGTGGAGGGGGCACCTTCCAATCGGCAGGGCAGAGCCCTGGGCAGCACACTGGCCCTCCTGCTTCCTCCCAGCTCAGGGCAAGGGCAGCAGTGACAACGACTGGGCTTTCTCCCTCAGGAAAACTGCCCCGAGTTCTGAGATGACACTGGGATTTACCTGTCCAGAGAAAGCTCCTGCAATTAATTCTGGTCGTGGGGCGTGTAGGTAGGGCCAAGCTGACTGGAGGGGCAAGGTTGTGAGGGGATGTATACTGGGTAGGAGGGCCTGCTTATGAGCATGCTGGACAAAGTGTCTGCAGACGGGAACGTGGGGGTCACTTCTGACTTTTTGACTCTCCAAAGTTGCAGGCAAACCCAGACAACTCCTGTACCATAGCTTTATTGTTGACATTCCACATTCAAATGACTCCAATCCACTTTAAAAAGTAAGGCACCTGAAAAGCTTCGGTGCGGGTCCCTTGTTAGCTACAAACCCAGGGCTGCCGGCAGCGCCTGTCTGCCCGCCTGCCCAGCTGCCCGGGCATCCGGATCCAGCCAAGCCCGTCCTCAGGCAGCAGGGCCGGATGCTCACAGTTGGACTGGGTTAGGTGCTGTGCTCCTCGGGGGAGACAGAGATTTGGCATGTCTGTCTTCGTCGGCCAGCCACTCGGTGAGGAGGCCGTGGTCATACGATGCTGAAGACCATGGACAGGTACTGCTCGTAGGACACCTGGATCCAGCCATCCTGGTCCGTGTCATAGCGTCGGAATATGTCTGTCAGCCTCTGGGAAGACAAACCGGGAGTTAGAACCAACAGCACGCAGCAGCAGGCCCCGCTTGCTCTCAGAACAGCTGGTGCTGGGGGCACCCTCAGCAAACCATGAGGAAGAGTGACTACAGGAGATGGAGGGGGGGGGGGTCTCCTCTGCTTCTGTTGCTGTGATCACAGACACCCTGGGCAGACCTAGGGCTGACCGTCCTTCCCCCTGGAGGTCAGGGCAACAGCTGCCTCCAGCCCCACTCCTGGAATCTCCCAGCCCTGACAGGACTCCTACACTGCCCTGACTGTGGGGGTGTCTGCACAGACACGCAGGGAGGGGCTGCCTCGCATGCCAGACACACAGCGATCATGCTAAGGATGGCCTGGGATTGGGATCACTCCTGCTGCCTTCATGCACGCCCCCCTCATTCTCCACCCCCACCCCCATCCTGTCACTCTGCAGCCCTGGAGGGACCATGTCTGCTGCTACCCTGGTGGTCCCCACCTCCAGCAGCCGGAGAGGGGAAGGACCAGGACACAACGTCTGCTTCCTAGGTGCCAGCAGCCTGGGGACCACGTCCACCCCCTCCCAGCAGCGGGCCACAGTCACCTGCAGGACGATGCAGCCCTGGATGAAGTCGTCAAAGGCAATCTGGCCCCGGCCCTGTCTGTCGAACTTCCGAATGAGGATGTCATGGAACTGGTCCGAGAGGCGGTACCCTTGCAGAGGAAAAGGAGGGCCCAGAGTGTGAGGGTGAGCAGGACCTCTGCCCCACACCCCAAGTGCTTCGTAACCTCGAACAGCAACCACATGCAGTTCACCAACCCGAGTCCTGCAGAGAACGGTGGGAAGGCTCCATGTGATTGCTAGAGCCTCGTCCACTCCCGGCGCTGAGGGTGTTCTGGGGGCCCTCCCTGCCCCGTGTCCCTCTGCCCCACCCAAAGCTGGTGAGGAGGGTTCTGGGGCCCTCCTGACTCAGTGTCCTCTGGCCTGCCCGAGGCTAGAGCTGAGAGTATTCTGGGGGGTCTCCTGGCTCTGTCCACTCTGGCCGCCTGGAGCTTAGGGCATTCTACAGGCTCCCAAGCTCTGTTTCCCAGCACAGGGCCACCAAACAGCTTCCAACGAAGACCCTGCCTGCCACCGCTTCCGACGAAGGTCCATGTGGATGGCAAGCTTCCGATTCCAAGTCAGTCCGCAGGGCCCTCGGAGCGTAAGCACCAGGAGATGAGAGACTGGCGGGGCGGAAACAGTGAGGGACGCTGGTGACCAATGATGAATGACCAGGGCAGGTCAAGGTCTGAGGGCCCTGGACAATGGCAGGGTCACCATCCATGCTTATTCAAAGGGCAAAGTTCACTAGGAAAAGCCCCTGGCAGGGACATCACAGTCACAAGTCAGCTGTGGTTCTGGCGGCCGGCAGCAGCCCTGCCCACCTCCTCTCCCAGCACGGCACGTCCTGTGCGCTCCTCCTGTCAGCGGACGAGGTCCAGGAGCCCACCCTCGCTTGCCGCTTTCACAGGTTCAGACTTCGCACAGCGCCAACGACTGCCGGGTGGAGTCACAGTTAGAGCTCAGGGCCTCTTATCCTCCATGGGAGCCACACACGTTACACAGTGCCTTCCAGAGGTCAGGGTCCACACCAGACCAGGTCAGGGGCAGCAGGGCCCAGAATGGGCCATGTGCATGGAAGGGCATGCGCAGACATGGGCAGCAGCGTTCTCTGCCCACGACGTCATGTCCACCTTCCCTGGGTCTCAAGTTAACATGCAAGTCAGGCTCCAGGTTGAGGCTCGACCAAAGAACCAGAGGAGCCCAAGGCTGGGTGGGGAGCACCCTGTCTGAGCTGCTCCAGTGACCACCAGGGAGGGAGGTGCGGCCTGGTGGGCATACAGGGGACCATCAGCACTGCCATGCTGTCTCCACAAGTCCCAGGCTCCGGACACGTGAGACCATTCCCTATCTGGAATTCAGACACAGCCTGTCCCCAGGACACCCACACCCTCACACCCACTCCTGGTCAGCACTGGCCCTGGCCCCAGAACCATACCCTGCCTGCTGCTCAGGAAAGAAGCTGGCTGAGGGCCTGTCCCCACTGAAGTCCAGAACCTGCATGATCAGACAACAGCTTCAGCTCAGGCCACCTGTGAGCACACCTGCCCTCACAGGGGTGGGACCCCGCACCCTGGCTGACACGAGCTCATGGAGGCTACCCACAGCTGTAAGCTTCCCACAGGGAGGGTGGAGCTGGCCCCCCAGAACCATACAGGAGCCCACTAATGAATTCAGAATGGCCAAACCCTCCAGCGTGTTAGCCCACTTCTCACTGTCTGCTAAGCCTTTCAAGCAAAACACTGAAGTGGGGAAGCCCGGGGCCAGGTGAAGAGAGCCCCAAAGAAAATTAAGACTAATGAGCCAAGACCAGGGTGCACCTGCCTCCCAGTGCCTTCAAGACCTCAAGCCAGCTGGACACACTGTGGATTGTTCTGGAAAAGGCACGAGGTAAGTACTGGAACAGGAGCACACACGTTCATGCATTCAGGCCTGGCATGTGTGGACTCGTGTGGGCACACACATGACCCAGTGTGTGTAGACACCTGGGCACACTGGACCCGGCACATGTGGGCACATACAACCCCCAGCATGTGTGGACACACACACACACACAAACCTCATGTGTAGACACATGAGCACACTAGGCCCAGCACGTGTGGACACGTGTGGGCACCCACGGTGCAGAGCATGTTCACTTGAGAATGGGGAGCAAGGCGCAGTGTCAGAAGGGATTTATTTGCTCCTAGCCCTCAGGTCTGTTTGCAGGGTGCTGCCCCACCACTGCCCCGGTCAGTAACTGGGCATCTCACGAGCCCTCGCTCCTCGGAGTCGCCAGAGCCCCATTCTCAATCTGCTCATGACCGACCATCTGTCCACTTCACTCAGGATGAAAGTCCTGCATAGCTCAGATCTCATTTTGGGTGAAAATGACATAAAAGTTCCCCTATCAAATACGAGTGGGGCCAAAGCCAGATGCTCCTGAGTCCCAGTGACCTCCAGGACCCAGTAGAAAGGTCCCTGCATTTCCCTTCAGGGAAGCAGGCTGCGCTCTGGTCTTCCCGGGGAGGAGCTATCTGTGGGCCCTCAAACCCGCAGCCCTGCGCCGCTCCTGGGGCTCCGCACGGGAGCCCTCATCCTGCAGGCCGAAGCGACTCCTACACACAGGCCAGGAGGCGGGACAAGGGAGGGGTGAGGACGGGGCACTGGGCCCAAAGTGAACTGAGCTACGCGGTCAGGACAGCGAGTTACCGAAACCTGAGAGTGCCTGCTTGAGCTCGTTCTTGTCGATCATGCCCGAGTTGTCCCGGTCGTAGGTGCGGAAGACGTTCTGCCAGTCCGTGATGTACTTCCAGACGCCCGTGAACTCGCTGAAGTTCACGCCGGCCTTGTTCTCTCGGTCAAACATGGCTAAAACAGACAGAAGCTGTCAGCGACTCCACCATGGTGGGGTTGGCTGCCCCCACCCCAAGTCCCTGGCCATCCCAGGCTCCGACAGGAAATCACCCAAGAGCAACGAGCACAGCAGAGCCACAGGCAGCACCACCCGGATGCCAGCCCCTCAGTGCACCCCAACCCGGTGCTCCAGCCTCCACCCCTCACTCCACACCACGAAGCCGCTGTCATGAGAACAGGGCCCTCCTACTGCAGTGCAGGGGGGTGCATGTGCAAATTATGACCTGAGTTTATAGGGGTCTAAATTCAAATACACATGCCACTGCAAATGGGCTGAAAATCACACAGAAACTCCGTCTCTGTTGCTGCTGCAGTGAAGACCCCCGTCGGCCGCTTTGAGGTGAGCAGGGGAAAGCAGGGCAAGGACACGCCCTCAGAGCCCTGCTGCCTGCATCTCCTCCAGGCAGCGCCAGGGCACGGGGTCCCCATCAGGGTGTGAGCATGCTGGGCGGGGTGCCCACGGACACAGACATACACGTGGGCTATGCTCTCCCACCCCCATCCCACTAAATGGGGCAACGAAGCCGGCTGAGTCCTGGTCTCCGGGTGGGTCTGGTCAGAGAGGTGGGGAATGCTACTGGCAGCGTTCTGGAAGTCAGAACTCTGTGAGTGCCTGCAATAGTCTTTGTGGCAGGAATGGAGGTCTCACTTCCTGGGGAGGAACCTCGAGATCTCAGTCCAGGCAGGAAGACGAGGGGGTGGGTGGGGGGCCCGCCTCCAGGCACTTCATGGGGAGCGGGACTTGCTAACTCAGGGAGCCAGAGCCTAGTGTCCTTGGGATGAGGCTTCTGTTAGGGTGGTGTGCCCTTGGGGTATTTACTGGTAGTACTAAAAAAGCTCTGTAACCAACAGGTTACCTGGCTGAAGAGGCCGTCCTGACAGAAGCACTGTGTCTTGAGCATCCCTGATCCCGGCTGTATGTAACTTGTGAACTCTGAAATCAGGAGGATGGTCCCTACCTTGGTGCGACTGCTGCGGTGGATTCCAGAACCCAGCAGGGAGTGCCCTGGGAAGGGTGGCAGGTGTAGGGGTGGGAGGTGTGTCTGACCTCAGCCTGGCGCTCATGAGCTTGATTCTCCTTCCCCTGGTCAAGCCTGACAAGGACAGCCACTGCCCCCCCACACCATCCTTACAACTCAGACTCAGAGCACTGGACAGACAGGAGGCGGGTGCCTCACTGGGGCCCTCGTGTGCATGGCCAGTGCTGATGCAGCCACACAGGCAGAAGCACAGAGCACAGGTCTTCCCACCAGCAGGTGTGTGGCAGCCCTACCTCCGGGGCCCACATCTCCCATGACCGTCCTAGTCATAAGGGCCTAGTCCTGAAACCCCAAGGCTCAGGCTACCCTCACCTCTTCCTTTCACGTCATGCAGAGCCACACACAACCCAGAGACCACTCCCCACTGGGAGACCATCTCACAGGAGCGCCCTGCTGTCTCCCGCCAGAGCTCAGGTCGCATCCTTTCTAATGCAGACGGGAGTCAGCAGGCGGAAAAGGAGCAGTTCTCTGAGGGACCCCGGCCAGGGACACCAAGGAAAGCCAAGAACCACAAAATGGGAGCGACCACAGTCATGGAGAGAGTCACACTGGGGACCATGGCCGTGGAGACAGAATCACACTGGGGACCACAGCCGTGGAGAGAGAGAGAGTCACACTGGGGACCACAGCCGTGGAGAGAGAGTCACACTGGGGACCACAGCCGTGGAGAGAGAGTCACACTGGGGACCACAGCCGTGGAGAGAAAGAGAGTCACACTGAGGACCACAGCCGTGGAGATAGTCACACTGGGGACCACAGCCGTGGAGAGAGAGAGAGTCACACTGGGGACCACAGCTGTGGAGAGAGAGTCACACTGGGGACCACAGCCGTGGAGAGAGAGTCACACTGGGGACCACAGCCGTGGAGAGAGAGTCACACTGGGGACCACAGCCATGGAGAGAGAGTCACACTGGGGACCACAGCAATGGGCACAGAGTCACACTG